CTGCAATCTCTGTTGGCTGGACTTCACTTGCTCGTCGACTGCCTTTCCTGCACTCTCTCACTTGCACTCCCGCCGCTATCCTCCCTTCGACCGCTTTCCTATCTATATAAGTCCTGGTTCGCCTGCTGGCCTATGCTCATACCTCAGTCCACCTTGTAGGATTCGAACCCATGGCCTGATGTTTGACCATGTCCCTACGCTTCCTCTGCGCCACCACTACTGACGAGGATCGCGTTAATTGGAATATTACTCAATCAACGACGCCACGCTTGGCAGCCCACGACAGACTGCCCCGCGAAAATTACATTGACCATACTGTAAATCTGCAAACAAAACTTCTGACTCTGAATGGAAGAATAATAAGACCGGAAGGCAGTTCATCAATTTCATCTTTTCTCTCTTCATTGCCAACTGACCGTCTGATCTATGGTTTACTGTTTTTTAATTTATGCAACATCTCAGTTTAAAATTGTCGCGGCGTCAGGCTTCTCAACAAATTGAAACAATATTATACACGTTATAAATAAAAAGAAAAACACCGTAAATTTTGTGTTGAAAGCTTCGTGAAAGGTGAAGGTTGCTACCGCAGCCAGTAAAGATGAAACGCAGTAAACTGCTCCTGTGATGTACTTTTCTATTCATTCTTAGGCCATACGTCAAATTTCCCCAGATTATAATGAAGAATATACGCTAATCAATGGAGGTTTGAACGCTATGGGCGTTATCACACGTGAAAGGAATACACGGCGCAAGGTAGTTCGCGTAGCCCGGTGGTCGAAAACATGCGGCCCACGGAGTAAAATAATCCGGCCCGCAACGCTTCACTGAATCACAGCGACAAAATGAACCATGCATATACCTGACGATTTGTGGGGAGGCAGAACCATGGATTCTCTTATTTCCGACCTGTTATATGGTGGAAAAGGGGTTTTCATATGTTATATGTTATATGTTCATTACTCTCACTATAAAAACAACGAAATCACCTTTACGTCAGGGGTGATTTAAGAGATATTTCTTAGGTGAGACTAATGCCTCTGACGCTATTATGACAAATCCAAGATTATTTCGACACAGTGTATCAGTATATAAGATTGGATCGCAATGATCGTGATACTTCCGAGTTTGTCCAAAAAACTCTTTGCAATTCCGAAAGTCGTTTTTGAATTATGTCAACCAAAAACGCGACTTTTTCGGACTACTATGAGCCATGGTGCGCTCGTGGGGGTTGGTGGTTGATACCCAGGGGGAGTTTGTTCCCCGAAATAATTTTGAAGTTAGGTATAAAGGGCATTATTATTAGAAACTCATTAATGTTTTGCACGCCCATGGTGACACCTCTTTAATTTCGCCACGTGTTCGTTTGATACAACCCCAAACAATTAAAAATATTCCGCAACTAATTCGTTCTCGGTCAATTGGCGGCGTTAGCATCTCCTTCACTGATGTATCGAGTAGTTTCAATTTCCAACTCTTCGGATATCAAAGAATTCCTTTCATAAATACTATTATGCCAAAATAATTTGATAAAGAAGATATATTAGTTTTTGTAATAAAACTTACGTCTCCTGTGGCAGCAGGGGCTTTAAAATAGGCACGTGCTTGAGAGTTGAGAGACCACGCACGAGAGGGCACGAATTTTCAATAACGCCCAGTGTCAACCTGATTCGAGCCTGCAAAACGTTTCAAAACCTTTTAATTTTATTGCTTTATCAGCGGTCTCCGCACTTGCTTCCACGGTGGTGTTTTTGCTTGCTCGCCGACTCTCTTGTTCGCTACGCCCCATCTCACATTGACTGCTTGCTGCCAGCTCAGCGGTCTGATTTCTGGCTGGTCTCACAATTTGCTCACCGGGCTGCTGACTTTCCTCCTCCACGCCTATATTGTTCTTTACTTGCTCGCTACGGCCCATTCTTGCAGGCTCATTGGTCTGTCTGATGCTTTGGGTACTCAGCTGAAACTCTCTCCTTGCTCGCCCAGCTCCACGCCCCATCCTCGCTTGCTGCAGCACTTAATGTGGATATTGCTTGGCGACTTACAAACCCCATTTCTTTACAGCTCAGCGGTCTACTTGCTGGAACTCAACACTTTGGCTGGGGTCGTCTCTTTCCTCCTCCACGCCACATCAAACACTGTTTGGCTGGGGTCGGTTGTCTTCACTTGCTCGCCGACTTCACGGTCACATCCGTCACTTGCTTAACGGACTGCCTTCTTCCTCCAGGCCCCCACAATATTGTCCCCGATTTGGTGGTGGTCTTTTACTTCCTTCTCATCTGGTTTTTTACTCACTCACACCGGGCTGCCTTTCTTCTCCAGGTCTCAAATTGGTCTTACTTGTGCGCAGTCTGCCTCTTTACTTGTTCGCATACTGCCTTTCTTCCCTCCGGTGGTCAGCTGCGCTCACGCCATTGGATGGTTTCAGTTTGCTCGCCGACTGCCTTTTTTCCTCCATGTCCTCTCACTTGCACACACTACTGCTCGCCGACTGCCTTCACGCTGCACTCACATCGTTGGGCTGGTTTCACTTGCACACCGGACTGCCTTTCCACCTCCACGCCCAATCCTTACTGCTCAGCGGTCTAGTGCTTCTATACTCAGCTGCACTCTCTGTTGGCTGGAATTCATTCTCCAGGTCTCAAATTGGTCTTACTTGTGCGCAGTCTGCCTCTTTACTTGTTCGCATACTGCCTTTCTTCCCTCCGGTGGTCAGCTGCGCTCACGCCATTGGATGGTTTCAGTTTGCTCGCCGACTGCCGTTTTTCCTCCATGTCCTCTCACTTGCACACACTACTGCTCGCCGACTGCCTTCACGCTGCACTCACATCGTTGGGCTGGTTTCACTTGCACACCGGACTGCCTTTCCACCTCCACGCCCAACCGTTGCAGCTCAGCGGTCTAGTGCTTTTATACTCAGCTGCACTCTCTATTGGCTGGACTACACTTGCTCGTCGACTGCCTTTCCTGCACTCTCTCACTTGCACTCCCGCCGCTATCCTTTCTCGACCGCTTGCCTATCTATATAACTCCTGGTTCGCCTGCTGGCCTATGCTAATACCTCAGTCTACCTTGTAGGATTCGAACCCATGGCCTGATGTTTGACCATGTCCCTACGCTTCCTCTGCGCCACCGCTACTGACGAGGATCGCGTTAATTAGAATATTACTTAATTAACGACGCCACGCTTGGCAGCCCACAACAGACTGCCCCGCGAAAGTTACATTGAACATACTGTAAATCTGCATACCAAAATCATGACTCTGAAGGGGGGAATAATAAGACCGGAAAACGGTTAATTAATTTGATCTTTTCTGTCTCCTGTGTCAACAGACCGTCTGAAAATGTCACCAATATTAAACAACTCGCTGATGACCACCAAGCTCAATCATCTCATTAAAAACACTATTTTTTTTGTTTAGTTGGTCTGTAATATTTACGTTTCTGATTTTGCATTTCTTCATAGCGCCGGGGGCGATGAAGGTATTTGGCACGCGAATGAGGACTCGAAAACGAGATCATCCTCCCTCAGATGTAAAGTTTTGAGACTCTGAATTATCTGAAGAAACTAGGTTTTCGTTTATTTATTATCGTTTGTTAACAATCCGTTCAAACAAAATTCACAAACAAACAAACAAAATTCACTCCCCCTACGAGGTTCTGGTTGCAACTCTGGCTTCAACCGTTCAAAACTTTAGGATTTGACAAAATTCCCTGAGTAATAAAAGGGTTCTCTGATGGCTCGAAAAAGTTACGAATCACTGATTTAAGAGTAGGCTAAATCTGGGATTCCAAAACTTTTACAGTTCGATGCAAGCGCAGCGCTTCTCTGATTCTATGCAATGTTTTAAAATAGTGGTATTTATATGTTTCATTAGTTTTAATAGTTGTGTTTTGAATTAAAAGTATGAAATTTACATTGGATATTCCGGTAGTACTCTGGGTGTGAAATTTGAGCATTCTTTGCAACCCCAAAACTTCGTTGCTGCGTATCACCTACGGCAGGGGTCGGGAACGCATGGCTCGCGAGCCATATATGGCTCTTTTGGTGACGGCATATGGCTCCCAGAAAAATCTATTATTCTAAGATTAAGCTTACTATTGTTACTAGACTTCAAACTATTTTATGGCCAAATTTGGCAAAAAATTCCCAATACGTTTGACAACGCGGGCCCAACGCATGTCTATGTTATTTAAGAGAATTACCAGACAGGCATTGTGACAAAACATGGGGATTCTGGAACATATATTGTGACATCACAAAGCGATAGTTTTAAAATACTACGTGGATGCCTAAACGAAAAAGGGTGATGAGTATCGTAGGTTTCAACTTGGGCTGCATGTGAGCAACCGTTCAAGGCCCGCAGCGACAACATGCAGCGTCAGAAGTCACATTAAATGTATATTGACATAGAATGTGTTGACTTTTGAGTAAACGTTTCAGGCCTGATTAAGTGAAGAAATGTTCTATGGCTCGCACGGAAATGCAATTGAAAATATGTATATTTTAGGGCTCTCTTGACCAAAAAGGTTCCCGACCCCTGACCTACGGTGTCGCAACTCCAATATGGGTATAGCTCTGCGCTAAATCGAGTCTTTATCGATTGTTGCCATTGGTCTGAGAAATTAAACAGGACTTTCTCATGAAACTCGATTATATTGCTATGTATGTTATGTCTCCACCGTTTGGTTTGGACGGAGAAATTAGTGTAAATTGGACATTCAAACAATCGAAGGTAATATAATATTAAGCAAATACCAGATGTCATTTACATTGTTTATGTTTTTTGATCACGTGTTAGAAGCGTGATCCGCTCGTAGCGATCCAGAGTTGCTGGATCCTGGAATAACGGGACTAATTAAAAATGTTTAATTACAAATGACTAATTAGCGTTTTCGTCCACTCTTCGCGCGGGAAGCGCAAGCGACAACGCCTCAGTAGCAATTTTGCATGATGGAGTACGGTAGGTTTTGTGTGTGGTTGGTGCTGGAATATTACTTTTTATCAATTTGTCTCTTTGGAACAATATTCAGGTGAGCTAAATATTAACAAGTGTTTGTGAAGCTGCTATATGGTTCCCCTAAAACTCTGTATTTTTTATTGATTTAGGTAATGTTGTTGCTTACTATCTCAATTTTTGTACGTATTGCTTTTCATAAACTGATTTCTAAATATTTTTGGTTGAAATTACAATTTCCCATTATTTTCAATAAGAACTGAAAAGCTAAACATACCTGGGACTCGTTCTAAATTGAAGAGTTAGCAAAAAATACAAGGTTAATAGAATAGCTCTGCTGTTACATTCATCCGATATTCTATATTTTCCCAGGCGTCCTCGCATATTTTATATATTCAGAATTTAGTGATTCTCACACTTTTCAAGTCGCGCCCGATATAAGTCACTACGTAAGCTGCATTTCACATTACACGCTTTACATCAATGTAATATAGATAACTTTCGAAACCTCAAATATAACACCAAATCCATGAATGTATATATACTTGGCTTCTGGAGCAATAACCAGTGAATATGGCGTAATGAGCACGACACTGTCGATACGGTGTTTTTTGACCTAGGTTCGATTAAACCGAACCCCTGGGGTCGATCTGTTCAAGGTGTTCTATGAAGGTCCTCTGAAATAATTTTATGCCATAAAATCTTTCCATTTCCAATCTAAAATACTAAAATATTGCTCTTGAACCTTTTACTACGTGTTACATATTTTTCAATTTTTTTTTGTACGTTCCATCCAAATAACAATTGTTATTTAATAATATAAAGTAGAAAAAGTTGTTTGGTGAAATCATGACGGAAGTCTTACTCTTGTCACAAGATATTATGTGAGCTAAATTACTGCTAACAAAAAACGTAAAAATTGACGTTGATTCATAACTACAGCTTTTGCTTAGAAATTAGCAAATACCGTAGCCCCAGACTTTTCGGTACTCCAGAAGTATGTGTACCAAGATGGCGGACACTGGACCGTAGTATGCGTACCAGATTAAGGTTAGACCATAATTTTGTTCCAATACCCATATTTTAGTTCTATTACGAGCTCTGGGACTATTAGAATGACTTCTGTAGTATTTGTACCAGAAATTATCTACTACTTCGGGAGTACCGACTTTTCTGTATATCGCCCCGCCTATAGTTTTACTTGTTTGTATACCTGGGGACTGATTTGGTGTACATTTGGGTATATAGTATATCCGGTTAAATATCTCTGCACTAAAAGATCATTCCACAATATAATAATTGTATTTTTTTGGGAAATCTGAGTCAAATTTTATTCTTATATATTGAGTATATGCTTATTTTGTAGCAGAAAAACTGCATTTCTTTGTTCGTCTTTTCTATATTTTAAGCAACAATGCGCCAGCAACGAGTTTCAATTACATATAATTTAAAATTATTTATTGTAACAATTTAGGATTAAGACTTTTCACTCTTTTTGCGTCGCAGTCCTAAGCTAAATACACCTCTGATAATTTTAGAATGAACTAAAAATATATTCATTTTTAGCCTTTTAAGAGACTGATTGAGGTTAGAAAGACGGTACATCAACTTCATCACAAGAATTCCGTCGTGGTCATTTGTCTGGTATTCATCACTGAGCAAGATGAGAGCCTATCGAGTCCGGCCAGCAGAGCAAGTATGTAATCAAAATCTTTTGAGTCTTTCAATACCATTTTCATATTTAGGATCAAATTAACGATCTTTTGTACACCCCCTCCCCCGGTAAAAACAAAACACTCGCGCTATCGTTCAGAATAATAAATATGTAATTATTCTGTCATGGTTTGGGTCAGAAATGCAGATTCTGCGGGAAATATAAATTTACACTAACTAGATAATTATTTATTTTAAAACTTGGCGCAAGTGGTTTTTATCAAATATCACATTTTTGCACTGGTGTCAAGTGCTTTGTACGAAAGATCCTAATCTAGTACACTAAAATAGTGCTCTTGAACCTTTTACTACGTGTTACATATTTTTCAATTTTGATTTTCTTTGTATGTACCTTGCAAACAACGAAGATTATTTAATAGTTTAAAATAGAAAAAAGTTGTTTAGCAAAGTCACGACAGATGTGTTGCTCTTGTAAAAAGATATATTGTGTGCTAAATTAACAAACCACCTCAAAATTAACGTTGATTTGTGACTACAGATTGTACTCAGAAATAACGTAGCCGCAGACTTTTTCTTCGTATCTCTCCGCAAATAAATATTTTTCTGCATATTATGGATTCTACTCGCTCATGTAATTCATCTCTTAAAATTTGTGTTCGTGGATGGATAAATCGTTTGCAATTTTTGGGCGATTCTGCGACAAAATTATTCCTTTTGTATATTGAGTATGATCTTATCTTGTAGCAGTAAGATTACATTTTTTCGTTCGTTTTCTCCTGTTTAAGCACTAATGCGCACATATGAATTTTTATTGGCAAAGTCTGTAAGAACCAGACCATTTCAATTTCGTAGAATCGCTCCATCGATTTCACTATTTTGCCCAACAAAACCGTAATTTGGCGTTAAAAGATAGCAACAATCATTCTGATCAACCCATTAACTAGAGCAATATTTCTAGTTGTTTCATATAGTCTGATGTGGAGATGTACCGATGTATCGGTATCGGCATCGGCAATAACGACCAATTTTTTGACATTAGTATTGTATCGGTATCGGCTAAATGTATACCAATATTTCCGATATATTTGGCGTTTATATGATCAGAAATGTTTTAAAATTCAAGTGTATATGAACTATGAGCCATGCACATTCCCACCCCCGCGAATGTGATTATGACTTGTTTTTAGCTATTTCAGCCAAACTATAGTTAATTCGGATATTTCGCTGCCAAAATTTTATATCGACATTTTGAATATCACATGCAAGTAAGAAGAAATTCAAAAATTAATGGATTTTGAAATATGTAAAATACAAAATACGACGTTGTGATAAAAGTTTTTTAATTGAATGCCGTGATCACTAGCGTCAGTTTACAATTCACCCGAACCAATAACGCGTCCCGAACGCAAACATCTACTTCTTTTTATGTGATATATTTATTTTTCAATCTTAAATGATGTGTTTTATGAATAATGTACAAAGTAATTTTGTGACTAATGCAAAAATTTCAAATTTGAGAAAGCACCACGTTTTGAAAAAAATCGGAGAAAAACGGAAATTTTCCATGAAACTGTCCGCGCACTTATACGGGCCACTTACGAAAAAAGCCCACTCTTTTGAAGGATAATGTTTTTTCCTGTTATGTTGTCTGGTATTGATTTTGTAGTTACGCAAAGTATCCAATTGGCGACTAATCAGAATCTACTTATAATGTCTTGTGTATTAATCCAATTGTCAGTTTGATGTAACCTGAGGTAGCGCCCACAAAAGAACATTTCTACGAAATATCGCGGTCATAAAAAGTATTTCAAACTGCCTGATTATATTTAGTTTTGATTTGTATTTTTGTGATGTTACTAATAAAGTGATATCGGTACATTTCTAGTGAAACACGCACAATTGTTTACAGTAAAGGTAGTTAAATTAATTAATATTATTTATGTCATATTTTGTCCATTCTATTATTGCGGAGCACTGGTCAAGCTTGTGCGTGCACCGAAAAAATACACAAAATGAAACAAATTCATAGAAACATAAGGAAAAGATGAAATTATAGGATGACAAGTTGTGCGTATTTGTTAAGCTGTGGTTGAAAGTTTGATTTGTTAATTTGACTAGTTTATTCGCAGGCGTTTCTTCGTCAGGCTATTTGCTTTTAATACATTTTTTTTTCTGTCAAGACGCCTGACTAATTTTTACATTTTTATTTTTGTTGGTATAAAACAGTCCCTGCTAGTGGTGAGGATTTAAACGCATTTTCCCAATATAACATCTTTCATTTTGTCGCTGTCGCATATTTTTTTTAATTTTTTAATTTTTATTCGGTTTCTAACATTTGATTAATTGAAATAGAAGAGTGCAAGTTAAGTGTAGCGTTTAGAACACAACAGGTGTATTCCTATTTTGAAGTTTGATATTGACGAGAATACAATTTCATATTTGCTCACACCAAAATACGTTATAGCTCGTGAATTGTTTGTGGCTGTGTTTGCCGTTTATTTATTCATTTCATGTTGGCTAGCAATAAGCACTTTAAAAAATGTTTATGCATGCTTTGGTCATTGAGAAAGAGTAGGGTATATATTTTTGAATATACTTGTATATAACGAATATACTGACGAACTTTAGTGTAAAGTCTGATTTGTTCGAATCATCTTTTTAAATCAGGGGTGTGCAACTTTTTTCGCAGACGGACCAGATATCAATACCTGGGTAAAACCGCGGGCCGCATCTTAAATTACCCTTATCAATAAAAATCGTCTGGATTCGTTTCCAAATATTTGCTGTTAAATCTTATATTAGATTTGATATAGACAAAATTAACTGACAGACTGGAACCAAATCTCATTTAGCTTTTGTATCTCTTAATATTAATTTTGTTTAAACTGCTCTTCCATTGCCTAATCTCAATTGCCAGTTTTTCAAATCATCTCTTGAATCTTTTTTTTATAAATTTATCAAAGATTTTGAAATCTATTCAATCAAAAAGTTTTGCTTTTACCCCTCAATTATTATGAAATTTATAATAAGTATTTGAAATTAAACATTTGCCCTTACCGAACAAGCATTTGACCATAGCAATTTGTTGCAACTTGCGTAAACGTTCAAATTGACATACTTTCAATGAGACTCTTGAGCACTGAACTTGCTTCGCTCTTTAAAATTCGTTGTTCTAAGTTTACTTTTTGTAAGTCTGACTTCTCAGAATACGCAGTCCGTATGTCGGTCAGTCGACAATTCAGGTGTTCAAAGCACTTTTCGTTTTTCGTCTCAGGAAAATATATAATATTTGTAAGAAAGTATATATTGACTTGTTGTCTGTTGATTCACCTATAAATTTGAATTACAAATTCGTCAAATTAGTTTTAAATACTCGACCCAGATTTGTTTGGAAGCCAGTAAGTTCGAACTTTTATTTATATCATTCAAATGCGTAAAAAAATGATAACTAAAGTATATATATATATATTTTTTTTCATACGAACGTTCTTTTATGTAAATTTGATCAGACGATTGGAATATTCAGGAAAACATGATTTTTCAGACCTCAGTAAATAATACTATTATGATAAATATATGACTACAAATGAAGTACAATCTTATTATCAATATATAGGTATTTTGAATGTGTACAAAGTATTAGTAAAATGTTAATTGAAAAAATTGAAAATGTGAAAATATTCGTGTTCAAAATATTCACAAATTTTAACTTTATTTTTCCAATCAGATGCCACATTTTCGCAAAATTTCGGAAGAATTACTGAGGGTGAGGTATGGTTAAAATTATTAACAATAAAATAGACAAAATCTGCAAGTTTATTCAGAGTTGAAATATAGCATGTTTTGAATGAATGTATATATACATACAAATATATTTTTTTGTGTGGTTCACTTCGTTTTTAAAAAGTATTGAAAGCAAATTTTTAAGAAAAATTAATAAATTGAAATATTTAAAAGTTATTTCTTGATACTTTTTAAATATTTGACTGTTAGATATTAAAGCCAACCGCATGTTGGACTACAATGCTATGAAGACACAAAGCGGAATTGATGCGTATTACTCTAATCCTCTAGTCACAGGCACAAGTCACAGGTTTCATTGATGTCTATTTTGGATAGTATCCATGTTTCCGAATTTTCAGATTTACTTTTCATATAATGTTTTTTGATTAGATATTTACAATATGATGAGAAACAGAAAAAAATACACTGTTTTTTGCCAAATGCATTGGAAAGTTGAATTGTGAGATCAGCATATCATACTTGCACTTTTCAATTTCATTTCAGTTTTATTTCTAAGTTATTTTTTACTTTGAAAGCCGTTGAAATTTCCGAATTCATTTTTCTGAAGATGGGGAGTTATCAGCCTGCTATATATTTATTGCCTATTGCCCTTTTTTATAAGGAGGTCATCTAAAAAAAGATTGTGCGAAAAAACTCCGAAAATACGCAGACCTATTTATGGACAAAGGAAACAGTTAAATATATTCAGAAACAATATAGGATCATAATGGCGATTAGGTATATTTATTGACAGTGCGAGTCAACGCTATCAAGAATACAACAATATATCAATATAAGGCGGTATATTTTACAAACTGGTTTGAATGTCTGAAATATTTGAGAGATAATTTAACGAGACAGACATTTACTACAGTCGCACCCTTATGCATTAACACACTCAGACGCACTTTTATGCAATAACACACTCCATGAAAAATTGATTTTTTTCATCTATTTCACATGTAGTATGATGTAGAGAACGAAAAATAACATGAAATTTGGAATTGTTTTCTGAAGTGAAAACATTAAGAACGTTTTTACACTGCTTGCATGAGCAACATGTACATAGTATTCAACAGATTGAAATAACAAGAATATCACATGAACGAGTTAGCAGCAATCGTAGACCGCCCACTTATCGATCTAGCGGCGTGTATCCTTCGCTCTGACTTAATAGCGACACGGAATAATACACATCCCAAGCGAGAAACGAACAATTCACTTTCAAATATTTAGGTCGATCTTATATTATATCATTGATTAATATTAATTATTAGTGTTTATTAGAAATATAAAAATGAGAATAAAATTTACCTCATAAATTTACGAGCCGAAGATATACAGGGTATTTTACTTATTATAATTTCATTAGAAATGACTATTCAAGTTTTAGAAACTTATGTCTGATGTCCTTCATCGAAAAAATTTAATGGTTCAAGAAGTGTTGTACCACTGATTTGTATTATTCAAACCAAAATTGCTGGAGGAAGAAAAAACAATTTCGAGACCTCACTCTTTAATTTTAGTTCGACCACGTAGATACGCATATATTAAGCAACATACATAGGAAGGGTAGCGCTTTAATATTATTTAGAAATTGGATTCTTTATTTGGATCATATTGATTCGAGAACTCACTCTTTAATATTTCTTGGCTCGACTACGTAGATACGCATATACGAGGTGTGGCTAAAAAGAAACGAGACTGACGTCACAGATTGCGCAACACGATTAACCATTGGTAATCAACACTTTTACAGTGTGGTGTAATATGTGTTCTTTGTTCAACAGCTTTTTTGACACAATATCGCAATTATTTTTGCTCTTTAGGAGCCATAGGTGAATGTGATTAATTGCTTGTTGAAAAAAAAATTGCCGTGCGAGATCTGATTGAGTTTTTTGGCGATAGGGGGTTCAATTGCAGAATGACGATTGAGCAATGAATTAACATTAAATTTTGTGTCAAACTTGGAAAAACGGCGACTGCGACTTTGAAGAAATTGTGTGATGTTTATGGAGATTCTTCCATGTCCAGAACAAGAGTTTTTGAATGGCACAAGCGATTTGTGGGATGCAGGGAGGATGTGGAGGATGATTCGAAGTCAGGAAGGCCTTGCACTTCCACAACTGATACCAACATCGAAAAGGTATCAGTTGTGAGTTCAGTTGTGAAAGGCAGTTGATTCGCAGCGACCGTCGCTCAACAATTCGCGTCATTGCGAAGTTGGAAAAGACAAAAAAAAACGGTTCGCACCAGTTTGGTTGACACTTTTGGCTTGTGAAAGGTGAGTGCCAAAATGGTGCCAAGGCTGTTGACTGAGGAGCAGAAAGCTCAACGATTAAATGTTGCCCAGTTGACATGCATGCATTTTTCCAAGTTTGACACAAAATTTAATGTTAATTCATTGCTCAATCGTCATTCTGCAATTGAACCCCCTATCGCCAAAAAATTCAATCAGATCTCGCACGGCAATTTTTTTTTCAACAAGCAATTAATCACATTCACCTATGGCTCCTAAAGAGCAAAAATAATTGCGATATTGTGTCAAAAAAGCTGTTGAACAAAGAACACATATTACACCACACTGTAAAAGTGTTGATTACCAATGGTTAATCGTGTTGCGCAATCTGTGACGTCAGTCTCGTTTCTTTTTAGCCACACCTCGTATAAAGCAACCTAAAAGTGATTTGTTGATTGAAGAAAAAAGTTATGAACCAGTAACATTGAAAAATGTTACGCTGCGAAAACCTCAGTATCAAAAATTATTGGAAAATGGTTAAACAGGAAGGGTATTTGTCCATATATAATAATTGAGAACCACATATTTCGTACGCACAAGAGATGAAAAGTATGACTTATATCCAGTTTAATTTTTATTGTTACTAACTGTGACAATTTAGTCATGTTCTCAGCGTTTATCACACATATTTATGATATTTATTTCTGCTTACAATTAAATGATGTTGTGAAATTTTTAACTCATTTCAGATAATCGGAAGAACGTATAACGAACTATTTCCTTATTGCGTCATTAACTGAAAGTAAACAGATATTCAGGAAGGAGTTAACCAGCCCTACTTCGATATGTAACTTCGCATCACAATATGCTTAAATTTTTGTTTGTTATGATAGTATGTAAAGCTTACTCTTGTACAAGTTTGAGAGCACCTTCGATTTTATGTGAGTACACAATCCAAATTATTTAAAAAAAAATGTGTCGAATCGTTTTTTTTAAATTATATTTATATTCATATTTAGTGCGCTGTGAATTCCAATATATGTTTTCAATTACAATCGACCATTCGAGTTTATGAGCTTTTATATGCCAATAAACCCACGTTAGTTCCCGAATAATCTTCAAAAGATTTGATAAGAGAGAATTGTTTTTAATTTGCAGTTCAACCTTTTTATTAAAATTTTATATATTCTAGAATTAGCGTTTAGTGTTGTTTAACTTTTTATTTGTGTATTTTCAGCAATAGACGCGGATGGAAATAGTTATTTCAATGTAATAAATAACTGGCATGGAAGTTCTTCATGTGAGTAAAATGATGGATGTAGAAAGGATTGCGTCTTTTAATGAAAGAATTCTTTTTAAGGACGTTTGGTATATTGGTGGCAGTATATTTAAAATCTCTGATATAATATATTTTGTAAACCAAATTACTAATCAGATTTTATTTTTTATTGAAATGATAAATATGTTATTTTTTCAGAAATTTGAAATATTTTTAGCCAGTTTGTGTCTTGAAATTTAACATTTTTCAGTTCTGGCTGACCGAACAACTCATCCTGAATTGATTGGTTCATATGTATTTAACCTAGGATTTGTAAATGGTGAGCTTTTATTCCTACTTATAGGTAAATACTCATTATAGATGATGATTTGCTGATTACTTTGAATATTTACTACATTGCCTCACTTGTATTACTTTGAAGTTCATGACAATTTAAGTTACGACGAATAATATGCAACGACAATGCATTATGGCATATAGGCTATGTCAAAACATTGAAAGTTTGTTCAAATCAAAAAATATAATAAAAGCAGTATCATTTTGCTAATTTGGTTTAATTGATATTTTATTCGAGCATGGCAACATATATTCTTAGCCTGAATTTGGAATCAAAATATTTGTTTTCAGACGCATCTCTAACCTTCAATGATGATTTATCTAATCAAATTAAAGGTATTGCATGAAGATATAAATTTATTGGAAGAGCGGAGTCGTAATTCTTTAGCAAATTTTGAATGGGGTCGAAGATGGCTGCTATATATTTATACGACACTACGAATAAAACATGCTTATATTCGCTTCTTAATTTTCTTATCTGATTTATCATTCCCATCAATGTTACATCCTGCCCGACCGCCAAAATAGCTTAATTAGCTTATTCAATTCTTGCAACAAAATGAAGTCATCTTTAACTCAAAAAAAAAAAGTTGCAAGCGCTGTTACAGAATAATGGTGAACAAATTATAATAAAAGAATATATGTAGTTTACTAAAACAATAAAACAATCTTTTTAGGGGCACAAGTCAATCGTGATGCTGGAATCAGAGCAATGCAACTGCAACATAATTTTGATTGGGATAATTTTTTCGATTCACGATCATGATGTAACTTCCACTATTACTGTAGAAAAACAATATTTATTTAATTTTAAACATTCATTATATAAACGTTGTTCGTTCTCTAAAGCAAAATGAAATGTAAAACAATCGGGCTTTTTGTATTATGGATATATATTGTATTATATACGTATTAGTCGAAATATCAATTGAGATTTAGCAATGCAAATCAATCGACAAAGATCAGTCACTTTTTTTCTCTCGATGCTTTTCTATATTGGTGTAGCACATTAATATCTCGAGCTCAAACATGATGTCCAATATTTTCCTCAGTTAAACCTTTGGTAGGTTTTTCTCATATTCTGAATATGTTTTCAGCTTTATTCACATTGAACAAGTTTATGTTTGAAACTTTAGTAAAACAAATTGATAAGCAAAAAGCACGAATAGGAGTGTAAATTAATTTGCCCCAATAAAAAAAAAAAAAGTATGGGCGTACTAGTTTCTACTATGACCTTCAATTTTATTTAGAAACATGAGTTACAGTCTATATTTTTAAAAAAAACGTAACGAACCGCCGTTGTAGGCAAGGCTCTGTAAAATGCAGTACAATCAAATTCTACTTTGCAAATCAGTAGCATTATTCTGTGTAAATGCTGCAAAAATTGAATTACAAACTGATTAGCCAATCAGTTGTTACTATAATGAAGGATCCTTTTTTGCTTTCCTCATCACGAGTCGTTTATTCATTATGATCTTATCAGTGTTTTGCTAATGTTGCCAGATTCGTTACCCAATAAATCATGTGAGCGATGTTGAACAAAGCTTCAGCTACTACAGTGATTAAAGATTAGTCAAAATACTTTTCTGGTTGTCTTTGACATACGACGGTATTACTTTCTTGCACATAAGGTCGGTTAACTAGTGATCGATATATGTTGAAAGTTTTTATGTTGCGGTTCCATTTGCTGATATGATTGGGCGACAAGGATAATTTTCCTTATTGACTTTTAGCTGTGAGCGTAGACGGCCTGGTTTGGGATTTTTCGAAATCATCGCTTTGAACAGTCTATTATCTATTACGCCGGCTTCTTTCATATTATGACATAATTTGGTCACATTATTTCCAATTTGTCTAGAGATGTCTTTAAGATTGTTTTCGTACACCAGACTACCAGCTAGATGCCGCATGCCTTCAGTGATGTAATATGATAGAGAGAGAATGCACGTACCTTTGTCAACAGGTACGATCACAATATCTCTTGCTTCTTTTTGTTCGAGCTCTTTCAAAGCGTGAAATTTGTCTTTTTTGAGATTTGAGAACGTGCGTCTTTTTGATGCTTCTTTGTTAGTTTCTCGTTTCAGGGTGTTGGCAAAGTGATTCCGATCTGAATTTCGTCCCGAGGGAGGTTTCCATAGAAGTCTGACCTTGGTCAGACGAAACGTTACAGAAATACTTTTGTGTTAGTTTGCAGCAAGACACTGCTGAAAGACTGAATTGAATAGAATAGGTGTTTACAAAGATGCTATTTTCCGATTATCGGAAAGACGTATAATGAATAATTTCCTCTGTGCGTCAACAACTGAATGTAGAACTGCTCATATTCAGGAGCTAATTAGCTCTACTTTGCAAGCTTGGTATAACAATATGCTAAGATATTTATTTGTTATGGTATTGTGTCAAACTTGTTCTTGTACAAGTGGAAGAAAGTCTTTGGTTGAAGGTGAGTGCAAATCAATATTTTTATTTTCAATCAACTACAAAGAATGTGGCATTTTTTTAATTATTTCGTCTATGATGAATACTACTCTGCAAAAAAATAAATTCGATCCTTCTTAGCATAAATAATATGATATAACGGAACAATCATGAATTAACGTTGGAGTTAGAAAATTTAACCTGTATTGCTAAACTACATAATATATCATGTGAAAAAAATTAATCAAAATCAATCAATTAATCAGATTCTGTGCATTATGAATAATTGTTACTATTAATTGCCATTCCCATTTTGAGTTCGAATTTATAGTTTTATGGAAAAATTTAAAATTATTTGATAACTGAGCCTTGTTCCCCAGCCTTGCATGTTTTTCATATTTTATACATAGAAAAATTGAACAGTTATTATCATGTTTTAAATGATTGTTGTGATATTTATATAATTTCAGTAAAGGACAAGCATGGAATGGTAACATTTAATACTGTAAATACTTGTTATAAATCTGATGAATATTTTTCTGGTGAGTAAAATGTTAAATGATAGCTTTGGTTCTTCGCTTACAATTTAATCAGCCGAATGAATCATTTTTTATAAAGATCTTGCTTGATAACGGAATTTGACAATTTTATGATATTCTGTAAAACATGAAATATATACTTTATGCATTTGTATTTAGTGGGCTATTTTTTTTTTGAACAAAGTCAATCAGCAGTTTTCACAGAAAGTCATACACGTTAATGTAATAACAAAGTTGACATATTTTCATACTACTTCAACGACTACAATTTATTATTTTTCAGTGGCGAAACGGTTCTTGCAATGCCTGGTACTTATATTCTCAATCAGTGACTTGTAGGTAGTTAGCAGTACAGTAGCAATATTTATACATTGATCCATAACTATAGATAATAAATGATGATAGAATGACCTATTTATGATTGTTCTGATCTAAGGAACGGACCATGAATGAATCCCAAATGCTGCATATAATTCGGTGAAAAGATGTAAACAGTATTACTTGAAGGATTGAAGTTTTTATTGAGATATAATCACATATATTGTTAGTATCACTTTAAAAAAAAATTTTATTTTTATTTCCAGTCATTACATTTGCTGATGGTTTATATAACCTGAATAAAGGTAATGCATAACAATATAAATTGAATGGGTGAACGAAGTTGTAGTTTTTAGAAAATTTTCGTTTAGACTGCAGAGGGTTGCTATATATTTATATGATTTGCAATGTTTGCAATAGCTGCTTAAACTGCTTCGGTTGGATTCTTAGCTTTTCATCTAATTTATTAGTCTCAATGGTCATAACTTCCTATCTTTCCCAAATGCCATAATGGCTCAATTCGATTATAAAAAAAAATACAAAAAATGAAGTGACTTTCATCTCAGTTATAGAATAGAAAAGAAGGACAAAATAGAAAAAAGGGTGAATAACTGGGGAAAAGGATATATATGTATTTAAATTAGGAAATATTCGTTTTATTGGCACAAACCAATCGTGCAGTTGAAGTTGAACTATTGCAACAGAATCTCGAAGCAATCCGTATTTGAATTAAATAGTGTTAACTCCCAGTATAATTGCTGTAACACAATATTTCTTAAATTATAAAATTTCTTCAATATGTAGAGTTGATTTATTTCTCAAAAAAAAACAGCACAGAAAAACCACATTTAGTTAGAAAACCAAAACTTATCGAAAAAAATTACTTATACCTTAGACCTGGATTAATGAATTCATAACTATTACGTATGACAAAATATCTTCACAATTAAAGGGATCATTTTCGAAATATAGGAAAGATGACATGAAAGAAATTTAAGATATTTATTGACAGAAAACAGTTGGACTGTGAAATTAAATTACGTATTATAAATGCATTAATATTTGTTTGTCCCATATGAGCTAGCTAGACGGCAAAAGTGATACGTAATAAGTAGTAATGGGTAAGTAATATTTCATAAATGTAACATCATTTGTGTTATGGGTCGCGACCGTGAAAAGTCATGATGAATCATTTTTTAAAGTATCTATAGAATATGAAGAATAAAATGGATATCTAATAAAATTTATATACATTTTATAATATTACTATTACTGTGGTAGAATTGTATTCATTTTCAATTCTGACCTGTTAAGATGATCAGTTGTGCTTTGTAACACTCGTTAATTCTCACATGTGATTTGAATGCTCTTGTAAATATTTAAAAGATCTGCTAAATCGTCATGTTTTAATAGTATTCGGAGACAAAATATAACTGTAAAAATATTACAAGTATTTCGGGCTGAAAACCCAAATTTTACAATTTTTTTTTTATCTTTTTATTAACATTGTACAATAGAATTTCACTATGCCATGCATATTGAATAGAAAATGTAAAATTTATATATATTTTATGTGTTTTATCTTGTTTATGACATACAAATTTTTATTCTGATTTTATCTAAATGTTTTAATTTATAACCATCATTACTTTCCAGATGTGTTCTCAGACGGTGATTACTTGTTCTGAAGTGTTGCCGTTTATGTCAGGCACCGCGGCATGTAAGTTTCCGCTCCCCCAGTTCAAAAAACCTTACATTATATATTCATGATATTTATTATTGCTTTTAAGTAAATGTTATGAAATTTGTAATTGTTTTTCGATAATCGGAAGAACGTAAAACAAACAACTTCCTCTGCGCCTCAACGACAGAATGTAGATTTGCTGCTATTCAGGAGCTAACTAGCTTTACTTTGCCTGCTTGGTATCACAATATGCTTAAATATTGTTTTATTGGGATAGTCTGTCTAGTTCGCTTTTTTGCAAGTGTAAAAGAGGTTGTAAGTGAGTATATAACCAATATCATTTGAAGGAATGTTGTAAATTGATTTTTTTTCAATATTATTTTAATTGAGTTTTTTATTCTAACATTCAAAATAATTTGTTTATAAATAGCTGAAACAAATAGGAATATAACGAATAAAATAGGAAATGAAATTGATTTATTTATAAAAAAAAATCTTGTCTGACCAAAATAATGTCGTAGTACGCAATTTCGTTTGCAAAGTCTAATTTGTATTTTAACTTAAATATTCAAATTTTGTATATATTAGAATTAGCATTTGTTCCTATTTAATTTTGAATGACTGTTTTGAATTCATAATATTTTCAGCAATGAAAGAGGATGGAACTATTGTTTACAATACAATAAGTACTTGGTATAAATCTTATGAACGTTTTTCTGGTGAGTAAAATCTAATTTATAGGTATGGAATGTGTTTTCAAGGCATAAATCGAATCAATTGCTAAAAGTCTTTTGTTAGTTTAACGTTCACAATTCATAATTTTTCAGGGCCGACTGATGGTGCAACAGCTCCTGCAATGATTGGCTCATACGTATTCAACCTGGGATTTGTAAGCGGCAAGCAAATTTTTTAACTTATAAACCTACAGACTTTTCTATAGTAAACAAATCTCATGAAAAAGATTTTGTTTTATATATATTGTTGTCGTAAATAATGCTCTCACTATGGGTTTATGAATTAGTGAAGACGAATGGCGAAAGTTAAATTTTTATTCGCCGTATTGGATATGTGTCAAAAAATACAACGTTTCAACTTGGTGCATGGGACATAAACAATGTCACTTGAAGAATTTTCAGTAATTAATGTTTAATTTCATTTTCAGGTGCATCTCTAACATTCTGCGATGGATTAAATAACCAAATTATGGGTAAAGCATAACTATATATACATATATAAGGAGTGACGGGGTCTTAATTGTTTCTCCATGTTTCAGCAGAGCATAACTTGTGGCCGTTACGTTTTTTGAATTAGAGAGACTGGCTAAAATATTTGTTCATCCTTTGTTACAGAAATTCTTCCTGTTTCCTTTTTAATTTTCTAATATAACAGTTCGTTATAAAATGCCAAAATGGTTCAATTTGCTTCTAAAAACTGCACTATGAGAAAGTGACCATCAATATGAATAAGATCACGAGTACGATTGAAACTATATTTAACTGTCATACCAAAAATGAAAAAAAAAAGATAATAAAAGCACGTTTGTGACTAAAAGCCATAAAATAACTTTTTCAGTTGCACAAGCCAATCGTGAAGCTGAAGTCGAAGCAATGCAACAGCAACTTGACGCAATCATGTTTTGATTGGAATTATATTTATATTCCAAGATTATGATGTAACTTCCAATATTACTGTAAATAAACATAATGTACCTAATTTCACTTTGATGCGTAATATATAAATGAGAAAAAAAAACACTAGACTTGAAGCTTTATATATATGTGAGGTGAAACTTGAAAATATATATTTAACGTATGAAAATTACTTTTAACCTAGAATGAATTCATCACTACAAGATCACAAACGTCCGTTTTTTTATTATACATTAAATATTTTGATTTATTGAAGATAGTCAGTGAAAAAGCGCTTATATATATTTCACCTCATAAAATTGCACAAGCCCTAAAACACTACACTACATAAACGTTGAAATGTAGGGTATCAAACTCAAGAAAATTAGAGAAAATATGAAAAAAAATATATGTAACAATACAAGGCCGAGCTTGAGATAGTCACTTATCTGCCGAAATGTATTTCATTGTTATCGTGACGTGAGATAATATATTTTACTTATTCAATCGAACATGTTCTGGAAGTGAAAGGTTAAATATTCAATGTTTACGCGTTCATGGGGCACGTATTTTAGTTTGAAGTTATACACTTATTAAAATTTTTCAATTTATTTTTTTCAGCGACCCAAAAAATGTAAAAAGGTAGTAGTTTGTTGCAAACTGTGAGATGAGGATATTTCTTTTCAAGATATGTATTTTTTCTGGATAGCTGTGTTGAAACTAGGCTAACGACGATGTAGGACGAAAAGATGTCCTGGCAAGCCAAGTTTTAGAAATAACACTATCGTTCGACATATTTCAACAAATATAATAAATCATTTTTTAGTCTTTGCTAACGATCTTCGATACATGTTTCTTAAAGAGCATTCAAAATAAACCCCCCTTCCTTTTATGAAATTTTTCGATTTTCGGTTGACAATATAGGCTGGCGCTCTCCGATTGTTTTATGCTACTCAGCTGAACGTAATTACTATTCACAATTACCATTTTTGATATTTTGTAATCTAAATCAGACTGCTGGTCCAAAACATTTATTCTGAACATAAAATATTATACCAAGAATAAAAGCGTAAATACGTGTATTGTTTGTTTTGAGGATGGAGTTTTGGATTGATTTTGGAATCACACAACAGAAACAAATTGTTATATTATTTTTTGAAATTCAGCGTGTTTTCGAATGGCACAAATTTTGGTAAGAGAATTTTTAATATTAATTCAAACTGATATAGTATCATCAAAACATTAGTGGTGAGTAAATTTGGCAATAATCGGAAATGCGCTAGTCGACGGATTTCCTTAGTGCGCAATATAAGTCGATTAACAGTCAATATTTATTAAGCGATGGTTGGTCTGGCGTAATTACACGATATGTGGATATTTTTATGGCTATTGTGTATTTGTCAAGGTGGCATTTGTGCATTTGTAGGATCATTATCTCTGGAAAGTGAGTGATGTTTTTTAATTACAGTAGATAAAACAAAACCAATGCTAATTTTTATTTAATATATCAATACTTCATGTAAAAGGAACTTTAGTAAGCCGCAGTCGCGTCCGGATCATTTCTGAATTTTCTAGTTCAATATTTTGAAATCGATCAAATTCAGAGATACTTTATGAAATTTGTTTCTACTAGCTTATAACCACTCAGTTTTAAATCTCAGTTTTTGCACAGCATTTTCCGAATTTCCGGTAAATCCAGTATTTTTTGGCAATAGTATTTGTTTTTCAATAATTAATTTATGATACATATATATTTATTTAATTATATTTGTAGTTACGGATTTGGACGCCCCCCTTTTGCTCGAAAATAATGGAGTTGGTAAGATTCTAGTTTATATAGAAGCAAATTGCAAATAAGACTAATTGTATTCAGGCAATTACTAACACAATACCGATGCTTCACTAGCTATTCATGACACTTTTTTTATAGTTATATAATAGTAGAACTATATATATTGATATTATTAAAGAATATTATATTTCGCATAAAATTGAGCATGCTTTCCGCTTGCGATGGCAAATTAAGTCTCAAGTTTCACAACCGAAACATCCGTCATTTTGTACGCATATGAAATCAAGTTTCAATTGGTATTGAACAACTTATGAGCCACTTTGCCAAGTTCGTGTTGTGTTGCTGTTGATTTGAATTTCCTCTGTGAAACGAGGTGTGGTCATGGAGATGAACCTCAATAATCCGCCCATAATTTATAGCTATTCCGTCACCACCTGATTTTATTTCAAATCACTGTGAAAACATTCGACTGGCGTGACTTGTAGTTTTAATATTTCACACTTATTCAGGTTTATTGATGAAATAATGGATCATTACTTTTATATTGCACTATTTTATTTAAAACTTTTATCTCAGTTTTTCAAATAAGATAGATATTTACCGTTTTTCGTAACAAATCATAATATTTAAATTTGTATTACTGAAAACTGGACTTGATTAAATCGTACGCTATCTCGTAATCTAAAATTTTCACATGTTTAGTTTGTTATTTAACCGCAAAGTATGAAAGTGCCGATTATCATTTTGTATTTTATTTTTTTAGTCCACGTCATAGATTTTTTAACATCTTCTGGTACAACGACTGGTTTATATGCATTCAATAAAGAAGTTTATGGTAAGAAATGTATGTATAGGTATTTGCATAATATTTATATATTTGCTTATATTGTATCATAGACATATGCCCAATGTTACAACTACTGACATTTTCAATATTTATTAGGGCTGTAACAGATATAAAATAACATTACTTTTGTTCGATCTGCTAGACTCAACAGAATTTGAACAATAAAATGTTGAGAAGAATCCAAATTGAATAAATATAATATACGCGTATATTTTACGTTGGTTTTATCTATTTCAATGTTGGAACTGTAAATGTAATCCCAAATTTTAGTTAGCCAAGCCAAATCAAAACGCTTCAGGTGTTCAATGTAGATTGCGATTTTTTGCTGTGCATCAAAATATGCATGATTTAACCCTTTATTTTATGAAATGCGTTACGAAGGATTATTAAAAATTCACTTTATGTTTAGACGCGGTAATGACATTTCATCAAAGTTTCGAAACGGTAAGCCAATGTGAGTCAAAAACAGTGAGAAAGACAATACTTCAATTCTGGCCATCTATGCATAGGATCATAAGAGTAAATAAAACTGCATTTAGGGTTCTAAAATATATATATATTACCATCGATCAACGTTCTATCGAAATGTATTTTTTTAAGTTTTCTCAAAAATTTTATTCCCTGAAAATATCTAAAAATCATTTCGAATTGAAACTGGCTAATTTTATTCTTAGTAATTCGAATCAATCGCGGTATGCACTCCGATATCATGAAGGCAAGAAGAAGCCCTAATGACGGACACACTAAACTTGGCATCAGCACGTTCACTTATAAATAATATTATTATTTGTTATCATTGTACCATGTTGGATCAATTCATAAAATATTATTTCAATAAAATTTAGTGTTGACATTTTATTATCAAATGCTTCAGTAGCATTAAAGAAGCAAATATTTTTCGTACATTCTAAATATTCTATTCTATTGTCTTTTTAATTTATATTCTGAAATTACTACTAATAAAAATTTATTGGCTTTAAATAGTGTACAAAACAGTAATTAAATACTGTATATTCACGGTCAGAAAAGTTTTAAAAATAGGCCGACTCAATAGTGAGTATAAATATACGAACACGCCATTTCCCAGGTTTCAAGACGTCAAAGTGATCTATATAGCGCGTTCACTCTGTCTTGACAAAACAAAAAATTTGGAAATACAAAACAAGCCTATTGCTGTATTAATATAAAATACATATAAAGTTTAAAAAAAAATGTCATAGTCAGGGATAATTCAATGAAAATATATATCACCTAATTAGACCATCCAACTCACTGAAAATAAATCATAGTTCTATTCAGACATTTTCAGCTATTTGCTTAACCAATAGGATCAGCCTGGTCATAAATGGCTAATCTGTGTCATAATTGGAATTATGGCTGAATTAAATGTATTTTAGGGAGTCAATAGTATTCCATAGTGGTCTGCATGTGAACAAAACCAATTTCAAAACTCAATATGTTTGAGTTTAAATTATCCATGCTTGATCCGAGTGTTCTTAATTACGGTGACGTCATCATATTTTTTTATGTATAATTTTTATTTTGCAACAAGGTCAATTTTATTTGTATGAGTATTTCAAAGCTTAAAAATAAATAAAGAATCTGTTGTTAGTTGAAAACGAAGTATTTTGAACGCGCGAGCAACGTTCTCCGGCTCATAATAAACAAACAAAGATACCAGACAGCACGCGATCAAATGCTCTTCGATAAAGCGAATACCACCTCACTTACAAATCCCACTCTTGTTTTATTTTGAAGGTGACGTAAAGCTCTTCTAAAAGAGAACTCTTTCTCTCGCATATCAATCACGTGTCGACCACGGCGTTAAAAGTGAGAAACTTTTTTTCAAAATTTTTTTAAATTTCTCTCTTCTTACCAGCGTACGGCCGTACACATTTGCGTACGAACGCGACGAAAATAAGCTTTTTAAGGACACATTAATGATGTTTTTGGCATTTTTGGTTGGTGAAATATTAAAAAAATTATAGAGGGGTTTCAAAATGACCCAGGAACACCGGGGGTTATTAGGCTAAATATGTGTTCTTTGATCTAGATTTTCGACTGCTACAATAATAAAGATAGAAATGGACCATAAATATGTCAGTCTCATTGCTCTATCTGATTTTGTGTTTAGAGATAACAAGTATGATATGCATATGCATTGTCGTTGATGAACTATCCAACTTACGAACACATTCCGTTCACAAAAGTACGTGAATTTGAAACGAAATTTCAATGACGATTAGTCATGTTGTTTGAATGCATTTTAGATTCAAATGTAAAATTGTTGACTTACCTGATGGGCAAACATATCACAAAAATCTAACGTGAAATGGTATACTTATCACTATGTCGGTAGAGTAGTGACGTAATGATGACGTAATGACAAAATGATCAAATGTAATAAAATTTTTAATGAAGCAACTATCCGCTCTCGAAGTGGTAGAGATGGACTTGCTTATAGAAGTAAAGGAATTTAAAATGAATCTTTTTAAGAAATTAAGCTTAGTGGTGAATATATTTCTGATTCAAACGTTAATTGTTAATAATAACATATTGGACGAAGTCCATAAAGTGGATCTATGTTATTACTTATCATTTTTAATCGGTAAGTATGTTGATGGGTATTTGTCTGTCTATCTGTGTGTAGGTCTGTTAGATGCACGCGATATCTCACTAAAGAGAGATTGAATCCGCTCCTGATTTTGCATGTGCATTCATCATATCTCGGACCAAAAGCCCATTTTGGGCGAATTATATCGTCTAATTAGTGAGTTATTAATTAGTTAGTGATGGGACACAAGATGTCACTATGAAGAAAGAGCGCTGTTTTGGGGATCTCTTAACTTTCGATCGATAAGTCTTCGGTCTCTGACCGATATTCTCGTTATCATGTTGTCGTTGTTCGTGTTAGAAATTTTCTTCGCCAAGGGGCTATTACTTTTTTTCAACGTGAGTTACATGCTGCCATAAATATAGGCAATCGAAATGACTTTCGATACAAGGAACAATGGTTATAGTAGAATTTGAAAGATTTGTTGCATAATAATATAAATTTACCTTTATCTAGGAGACACTGTCTCGAAGTTTGATCGCAGTATTGGGAACCAAGACAGTCGCTGTTGACATCACACACTGTGTGAATGAAAAATTAAAATTGTAACTTAGACATTCACAACAGTCTGTTAGGATGAATATCGGTCATTCAGATAAGCTATATCTGATTGATATTGAACTAACGCGAAAAAGTCGTCATATGAAACCTCCATCGTTCACTTATTGGTATAACGAACGTTTGCAACCCAAATATACCGCGATAGTGTTTAAATGTGGTAAAGTTTAAATTGACATCAATATTTAGCTGGGACAGTTGTAGTATTCCATTTGATGTCACTTTTACTGACGAAAAATCAAGTTCTTTTCATTCATTTGAGCTTGTTGTAGTGTGGAACTGTGTGTCTCTATTATCTTAATGGCAAACTCAACAAGGATTTTTAGACCCATCAGACATTTTACCACTCAAAATCTTCAATTACTGGCCACTTGAATTGAATATGCTTCAAAGCAAACTAAACCTATTTTCACAAAATCAAAATTTACAACGAATTAAGGTGATTTTCTCACTCTATCTGCCAAAGGCTAACAGGAAATCTAGGTATTAAAACGGGGAATTTTATTTTTTTGGTACACAGTCCATGCACCGCAAATGTTCTTTAACCTATAGTACTCAAACTTGACCTATTGTGGTGCGAAGTTTATAAAAAAAAAGGGGGTCCAGGGGAAGTAAGGTTATGTACATAAGAACCGACTTTCGCTCCATTTATAACCGGTATCAGCTTATGATCAGCATATCTATAATAAACAAGTGAACCTGAGATTTATATTCTTTTATTAAATACAGCAAATAAACTTCGTCTCCCACAGGGCTCCGAGATCTTTGAATTTTGTCAGGTTACCTTCAATCATTTGCGACTATTTAGCTTAGTTAGTAACTTAAACGAGATGAACTCTATGAGAAATAGTCTTGCCCAATCACTATGACCTATGAAAATAAAACTGGCATAAGGTTTTCCAGGTTTTTTCCTCGGATGGTAAGGTCCTTTTTGCATGAGTCGATTGAAGCTTCGCCTACGAATTCGAAATCTTGGCCTTCAAGAATAACCGTCACTCAAATAAAAAGAGTGTAGCGAGTGAAAAGCAATTTATTTTCTGTTTTCATATATGGAAGGTTTTAAATGTTTTATTAAAAATCACTATCATTGTTACTTGTGTAACGAAGCACCACAATATTGGCGAAACACTGATAAAACTATGCATGGAAAAAGCAAGTCATAAGATGGGGAAAGCAGACAGTGACCTATATTTTTTGGTTGTACCCTATAAGTTGTAATCTTGGCTTTATCTGACGATCACACCAAATTATATCAAGAATTTACAAAATATAATCTGGTTGCAATATGAATGCTGAGCGCTAACTAGACTGTGACAGCTGATAACAAAAATGAAATCCAATACTCTCCATATTCTCATGCTTTTGGTACATATGCTTCTCAACGGTTCAATTTGCACAAATAACTTTCCTGCCCTTCCATTTTATTTTTTTCTATTGAAAGATTTTTTCATACTTTTTCGCGAAACAAATAACTTTTATGTAATGTACAAATCAAAAGTACGTAAATATTACTCTTCTTCAGTCATGTTGGAAGTTACATCATGATCGTAGAGGGAGCAAATAAAGTTTCAATGAGAGTAGGAGTGCGTGAAGTTGCTGTTGCATTGCCTCGATTTAAGTAAGCTTCACGATTGGCTTTTGCCAGTAAATTTTTTCTTTATTATTTTCAGACAATTGCATACGTACCTTTATTATCACCTATTACTTATCGATTTTAATCGGGTAAATATGTTGATAGGTATTTGTCTGTCTGTCTGTCTGTCTGTCTTTGAGTATGTCTGTTAGATGCACGCGATATCTCACGAAAGCGAAATTGAAGTTACATCATTATAGTGAAGAGATGAAGGCTTCTAATGAAAAACAAGGTGCGTTAAGTGCCTGTTGCATTGCCTCGAATTTAGCTGCAAGATTGGCCTGTGTCACTGAAAAAAGTTGTTTTATTGTCTTAGGCGATTGCATACGTACATTTATTATAATTTGTTTACATTCTTGATATGGCTATTATAAGGTAGTTGGATTATAGTTGGATTCGTGCTCTTTTTCAGTTTGTCATGAACTCTAACTAGATCGTTCAGTTTTTATCGTTATGCATTATCTTTATTTTGGATATTTAGACCATCATAGAAGGTTGAAGCAGCACCTGAAAATAAATGATTTTCAATTTCAAAGTGGTAATAATAATAAATGTGATTATATCTCGAAAATCTTCTATTCCCCAAATAATACTGTTTATATATTTTGCACCTACTAAATAATACAGAACAAAAATTTGTTATAATATTTGAAATAACCAAACACGGATCATTGAATTATTATTTTTTATGAAGTCTGTTTGAGTAAGAAAAGTCTCAACATTTAAGATGTGGTTAGCACTGCCTCACCACCTGCAAATCCTAAAGTGATTGTATTTGCAACAACAGTTGTCATATCTTCGGGTTCGAACACTGAAAATAAATATTGCAATTATAAAACTGGCATTAATATTGCAAATTTATAATAATAATATTTGATCAATAAAATATGATAACTGACTTGGTCGACACAATATTCCACTATAGTCATAATACCTACACACGATATATATTATTACTTGGAGTCTTGAAATATATACGTTTTATCAAAAAGTAAAAATATTCTGTGACGACCATGATTGACCTCAAAAAAACTGTAATTATTATTAAATGTATATTAGAATAGAAATTAATTTTTGCAATGAAAAATACAATTTAATAGTTTTAATTACATTTTACTGACTAGACATACATCCATAAGATTCATACGAAGAAACAACCAGATTGAAAGAAACAGTCCCGTCATCGTTCATTGCTAAAAATATATTAATCATAAAATCTCGATTCCGGAAATTCAAGATACAAAGAAGAAGTAAGCTGAGTTAACATTTAATATTGTAACAAAATGGTTTCAATTTTTGAGTATTAGTATAAATATAGGTAAAATATTACAAAGAAACATCCCTCAAAATAACGTTTAATGTTTACTTACCTACAACCCATATTGCATTGTTATTTCTACAAGAGCAAGCTTTAGCTAATATCACAATAAACAAATATCTAAGCATATTGTGATAGCAAGCTAGCAAATTTTACTAGTTCGCTTTTGCATATCAGCTTTGCATCCAGTCTTTGACGCACATAGGAAATTGTTCGTTATACGTTTTTCCGATTTTAAGGAAATAGTTGAACATTAGGCATCATTGTTTATTTTTGAT